CAGACTATCCCTCCCCCTACATACCCGCCAATCAGTGCACTACGTGCTTGGAAGTCTAGGAACTACAAGGTTGAGCATTCTGAGGCTGCTGCAGTAGGTGCCTGGACCCAGTTCCCGATTTCTGGGACGGTCAACACCGCTATGTTCACCCCCACCACACATGATCGCGGGGGAGGCGACTGAGGATTACTTGCAGTGGTACAGTCGGGTTTTCCATCCGACTCTCATGGGCGAGGAGCTGCCGGACGAGAACGAGGTCCCTACGCGTGTCAATACCGCCTATGTAAGTTGGTTACTAAATTTTAATTAATGTTATTTTATTACAATAATTTTTTTTAATAAATTTTAGTCATATCTTTTTATTCTTCCATTTTTTTAGTGGGTGGACCGTTTTTTGGGCATTACATCGACCATGCAGCAGTTCCTTGTTGAATGTCCGGAGGCAGCACAAGTCCAAGAAGATTTTGCTAAGTTTAAGTTGAATTACGACAATGTCCAATAATGATGTAATGGATGTTTTTTTTTTTAGTATTATTGTTAAACATTAAGTTGAATGGTAAGTTGAATGGTTTTTTTTATTTATTATTTGTAAAACATTAAGTTGAATGGTTTATATTAAAAATGCAAAAAAAAAGTACCGTTAATGCGATTTTCGATTGCTATGTAACATGATCGTATGTTCATGCGGTTCGAGACACGCTCGTTCTCTTGAGAGTCTCGATGGGTCGACTCAGGAGAACGAGCGTGTCTCGAGCGCAGGGAATGAGAAGCGTCATACCACAAGTGAATAATATCGTTCTTTTGTTGAATCGAATAATATCGTTCTTTTATTCAACAAGGTCTATTTTGAACAGTATACCACAATTGCAACCTAGTCTGGTACTGATCCTCCCAACCCACAACCGATCGATCTCGGTAACGGAACCACATGGGTTCAATAGGCAGTAATGGAAATTCAGGAGTCAAATCTAAACGAATGTAGTGTTCTACGCTACCAAGATGGCACATGACAATCTCAAGACATGGTCCTCTAGCCGATGATCGTGCAATGAGAGGCAACACTATGATGCTGAAGAAGTTGTGTTGCCCACCTTGCAGACCAGAGCCCAACAGAACGACAACCGCATTAAATAGGGTCCAACGGCGTAGAGGTCCTGCAGAACTTCGAACCAGTGAGCCCGTCCACAACGGCCCCGGTCCCACCTTACTCGACGAAGTCCGGTGTCTATATCTCTAAAATAGATGTACTCGTACAATCCACGGTGGCTGTCAACCTCCTTCGCTATGTTGTCTCTTGCATCTGCCCAGTACTTCTGGTGACCATACACGTAACTTGCGATGACCCGAAATCCGCAGTTACCATCCACCTTCACATTCAGGTAACTCACTATGTATTCCAACATATGCAATGGGATATTTTGCCATATTGTAAAATCAAATATATTTGTCGGTCTAAACTCTGCAATATCATAATAATTTCACGCCACAATTTATATAATCATATAAGTACTTTAATTAACGTTCAGCCATATTTTTTTTAAAAAAAAAATGTATCACCTGCTTCCCCTTGTGACTGTTGAGAAGACGAGCTTGTCTGTCCACGCGAAGAAGTGGTCGTACAGCTTGATTTCTGACCTCGCGATCTATCGTTGGACTCCCAAGCACAGGGTTTACGCTTAGTTGAATTAGTTTTCTTAGGACGACCTCGCAGGTTATCCTTAACCTTAGGTTCCGCATAATCCTGTTGGTTTGGGTAAAGATGACTGTACATGAACTGATTCACGTACCGCATCGTCGCGGGGTCGCGGGTTTCAACCTCACTCACAAGCGTCTGAAAGAACTCTGCATCTGACCATGCAGTTTGGCTCGCCTGGCTCTGATGACCAGTCCCTACAAGTATACGATAAAAAAATTCAATGAATTAAACCAAATAATGTACTTTAATTACATAAATTGTAATTGAAAATGAAACAAGAAGTAGAAAATTATAAACAAAATATTAACCTTAAATTACCTGGCTCTAACATCTGTAGCGTTCTCCAGAATTGGTGAATCATTCCGAGATCAATCTGAATTTTAGAATCAACTGCAGTACGGAGCAGACAGGCACAAGGAAGTCCATGAGTAAACTGCAATACACAGCCGCAGCTAGCGTAAACATCGACATCCAAGCCATGCATCCTCGTAAGCTCAGCGTCCAATAAACTCAGGCAGTAATGCGAGACCCTCAGTATCACGCTCGCGAAAAGAATTCCCTTATATCGTGTATTCTTCTTAGATCTCGAGGCCTCAAGCGCCGTCTTGATAATATATTACATAACGTTAGATTATAAATAATGCAGTAATATAATAACGCATTTAAAAATTGCAGTACGTACCTGATTTCAGTCACTTGATGATCGATCTGCTTATTAATCTTCTGCCAAATTGTATCGAGCGCGTCGGTGGACGTGTGAAGCCACTCCTTCAACACAGAGTGGGCACACTCCACCCTACAGGAAGTTGTGTTTCCAAAATGTGTCACTCGGTTGGTCCAAGCCTTCACAAACTTCTCTTTGTGTCCTAACCATGTGTTCTCCACATACCATATCACCTGTGGAGACTTCCAATATTTTGTGTGTAGCTCGGCAACGGCATCGGTGTAGTCATCCAACGTACTGGCCTCCGCAATACGTTTCCACGTACTGTGCTTGAAAATCTGCGAGAATTTTTTACTCTTCCCAAAGAGTTTGTAGGCTCTGTCTTCCATATCCTTGTTGATGTGCCACGTGCAGAGTAAGTGGGCTGATTCGAGAAAATGCCTTTGAATAGGAATGATGAAACCCAACTCTCTGTCACTGACAACCACGTTAGGATATACGTCTTGGCCTATTAGTAGTCTCAACTTTTATAGAACCCAGTCGTAACTGGCCTCTTTCTCGTCCCTGATGAGCGCATACGCAATTAGGAAGTTCTGGTTGCATGGCGTCATCCCAATCATCTCGACTAACGGCATCTTGTACCTGTACAAATGAGACCAAGAATACAAAAAATATAATCAAATAAAAGTTAACTTAATCAAACACACTATTTAAGATTCATACTAATAAAGTATTTATAAAGTAACATACCTGTTGGTTTTATACGTGGAATTTATGTCGACATACCAGTGATATGTACGGAATAGATTGATCGACGCAGGATGGGCCATGAATATATGCGTCAACGCTTTCGTGCTCGGATCGGATTCTGCATAAATTGTATACTCGCGCTCATGGCCAAAGGCATAAGCTGGGAAGGAACGTCTCTACCCTCGAAACATTCTTTCCGCAGCTTATCTCTAAAGTTATATACCTGTCACCGATTAACGTTAATTATAATGATTATTATAATTTAAAACAAAGAAATTATTATATTAATAAATAAAAAGTATATTAATTAATTTATATGATAAAAAAATTATTAACTATCATAATAATAATACATTAGTAAATATAATAAAATTTATTAATTATTACAATAACTTTTACATATAAAAAATTACTAATTATCATAACTAACTTCACAAAGTTAATTAAAACATATATTACAAGATATAAATATATATACGTGTCGCACATGAACGTTGTCTCCCAGATTCTTTTCCTTCAGCGCGGTCATAACTTTTGTCGGGGCCACCTGAGCGTCCGTTATATCACGAACAATTTTCTTATATGAAGCGCTGAGGCCGCTCAACTGGCGATGATCCTCAGGATACACAGCAAATGTATGGTTATGGTAGCCCTTCTCTTCCTTGCTACATCTACAGATCCTCCAGTATGGCTCGCCGGACACCTTTTTTACTTTGATCTCAAAATCGCAATTGCACTTATTCGTTTTTGTCTTTCTGGAATTTTCACTGTCTCTGTAGCATTCGCCTCTATGACACTTCAAAAGACTGACCGTTTTCTTTTTGTGGCTCGAGATTACTAATAAGAAACCATTCAGCATTGCCTGGTGTTTTGCAGCTTCAATAGCGTCCTTAACTCTATTAAATAATGTACGGGTATCGAAACTGAGACTGTAATCAACACCATCTCCTCCAAAATCTTCCAATGACTTCTGCTATATAGTACAATATTTATATTTTTAGAACATGTTAAATTATAATCTATTCATTCTAATGTATAAGATAATTTATTCTAACATGTAACATAATAACTTGTAACTCATAACATGATATTATCTAACGTCCAATTTATAGGATAATGAAGTCTAATATGTAACACAATAATTTGTAACTCCTAACACGATAATATCTAACGTCCAATTTATAACATAATCAACTATAACATGTAACATAATAATTTGTAACTCCTAACACGACGTCCAATTTATAACATAATCAAGACTAACATGTAACATAATAATTTCTAACTCGTAACACGATAATATCTAACGTCTAATTTATAGCATAATCAACTATACTAACATGTAACATAATAATTTCTAAGTTCTAACTCGTAACACGATAATATCTAACGTCTAATTTATAGCATAATCAACTATAACATGTAACATAATAATTTGTAACTCCTAATACGATAATATCTAACGTCCAATTTATAGCATAATCAAGTCTAAAATGTAACATAATAATTTCTAACATAATTATCAAGTCCAATTTATAACATAATAATTTTTTTTAAAAAAAAAAAAATATTTGTCCGGCCGGCCGAACCGGTTTCAACCGGCCGTCGCCGCCGGACAGCTTTTAAAGCGTCCGGCCGGCCGGTTCGGACAGAGATCGTCCGACCGGCCAAAATTTTCGGACGGCTTTTAGCCCGTCTGAACCGTCCGGTTCCGGCGGTCGGACGGGCTAAAAACCGTCCTCTTTCGTCGGCCGGACACAAAAATTTTCGTACCTCGGAATTTGACGACATTTCACCGTACACTTTGCTCTGAGATATTTGGAATAAATGAAAAAGGCAAAATCGTCCAAAAGGGACGGTAACTAGTAAAAGGGGCGGTAAATAGTACTACTCAAACCAAAAACCCTGGGGCATTAATAAATAAAACTATTTAACAAAAATGTTTGAAGAACAAGAAAAATACTAATAATTAACTTCGATTGATCGATCTGCAAAATTCTGAGCTCCAATTGCTGGATAATGGCCGCCCCGTTCTTTTCAACGCCTTTCCAACCTTTTGTTTACCAGGTTAGCTTTTGATCTTGTTCTATCGTGTGTGTAGAATGTTTGTGATCTGTACGTGTTTTTTTGTATACTCTGATTTTCTGAATTGATTTTCTTTTTTTTTTTTAAATTCTCGATTAGGGTTTTGCATTCTGTTGTTTGATTTCTGTATCAGTGATCGTTGTTTCATGTATGTTCAATGTGTTCTAAGAAACTGGAAACATTTAGAATATGGCCTGTTTGTTCTGTTTTAGCTTGAGCTGACACGATGTTGTTGAATATGTAGTTGTGAGTGATTATCTGTTTCTCCGAGGCTGTTGTTGAATTATGTGTTTTGGTGACCTAATGATCTTCGAGAAAGCGTCAGTAGATAGATTCTGGACGTGTTTGTCATTCGGAGTGTTGAATGGCTTTTTGGAAGTTAGGTTTTGTGTAAGTAAAATGTGGAGCGGATCTCATTTGTGTTGGCTATTTTCTGTGTTTGGAGTTCGTTAGTCTCCATTATTGGAGTTTTTGAGTCTCCCCTTCTGGGAGCTTGGTAGTTGTTTTAGTTTTTTGTAGGCTTTAGGCTTTAGGGTTGCCCACGTGTAGTTCTCCTAGATTCGATTTTTATAGTTGTTTGATTCAGCTAGTTTCGCCTAGTCTGTTTATTTTGGTTTATTAATACTAGTACACTACCCGTGCGATGCGCGGCCTAATATTATAAGTGATGCGCATAATAATTTAAATAAATAAAAAGTTATTCAAGAATTGTATAGAGATGATAAAAATTAAAATAATTATTTGGTTTATCACATCTTAAAATGTTCATTAAAAATCATAATTCAAGAAACAATATATGAATGTGTGATTAATAAATAAAATTTATTTTTTTCCTTCAAAATTTTTAACATACCCAAACTCAGCTGCCGGGCCCCAAGAAGAGTTTAATTCATTAAACTTAAAAAAACATATATGTGATATTCAACGGAATTAGGTATTTGTCATATTAATTCCCTGATTTTTTTTTTTATAAAATTGTCTCTATAATAAAATAGTTTTCATCATCTTCGAACAAAATAAAGTCATTATTACTATTATACAAATAAACTGCTATACAAATAATTACAGTTAACATATGCGAGTCAATTAAAATTAAGAAGCATAAACTAAATACTTAATAAATAATACAAAAATGACTCAATTTTAGTTCTTATGTATTTAGTTTTAAATAGGCCCACATATTTTATATTTTATTAGAAAAATAAACTCAACAAATCATTTTTTTTAGTATCATAAGTGTGGTGGGGATATGATAATGATGTGAATAATGGGATCACTTTTGGTAAAGTTACAGATAGACCCGTTAATCGTTAAATTTTCAGGTCAGTAACATATTACTCATTTTTTCACTTGGAATTCATGAGAAATGTAATTTACTATATTTTAGAAATGTACATTGACCGAATTTTGGTAAAATAATAAGAAAAAAACATTTAAAAATATATTACATTAATTCTAAAATAATAAAAATTATTTCGATGGAACAAACATTAATGATATATGATAAAAAAAAATTGTTGATGCAATTAGGAAATTGTGTTGAACTTTTATCTACTACGACGGTTCAGTAGTGATAATATATATTTTGTATTCACTTAAAAAAATGTGTTATATGAATAAAAATTTAACAATAATGAACACAATATATTATTTTATTCATAAAAATGTTGTTACATAATTGTAGATTGATAAAAAATTAAAATGATGATAGTTTCTTTTAATAACAAACTTCTAGATGACTTCGAATTTTAGACCTACATTGAACAAATGATACCAATTAAAAATAAATTAAATCAAATAACTATATATTTCCGGCTCAAACTTTTTAATTAATAGGGACCGAAATCAATATAAAAGGCCTTATATAATATTGATTTTCATTGAATAATAAAATGATAAATATATAATTTCTTACTCAGTCTTCACAATGAAAATCATTCCATCACTCTTTCCTTTTCTTATGGTCGGGATACTCTTACTCTGTCTGTCATCATCTTTTTCTTTCACAATATCATTTCATATTATTAGTCTTTTTTTGTTTTGTCGTATTATGAAGTAAACGAAACCTAACTTCATGTTATGTTCGAACACTGAACCATCTAATTTCTATTTTGCCTACAAACTATGACAATGAATGCCCATCTAAATGTAAACAATAAAGAAAAAAATAATGTCTACATATAAAATTATATTTTCTTATAGACTTTTAAGATATTGTACTTTCAAATTAGATTAATGGGATAATCAAGATGACCACCGTCAATGTTAGGTCAACACCAACACTTATTTTGCATGAAATTTATGATAATCGTAATTTAATTTATTTTTTTTAAATACATATAGATAAATTCATGGAAAACAATAAGAATAACATATTCAAACTATAATATATAACAATAAAACCTAAAAGGTAAAACTAACAATTGTGATGTATAATAAAGAAAAAATAATTGTTGTATCTTTAGTATGTTGTGTGAAACTTTTGTCATGGAAAACAATGAGAATTTTGAGTCTTATTAAAAAAGCTAAACCAACCAAACAATGAGAATTTTGAGTCTTAGATAAATTCATGGAATACAATGAGAATTTTGAGTCTTATTAAAAAGCTAAACCAACCAAAAGTTTCCAATTTTGATATTTGGTGTATAGATATTTTAGTTAACTTATTGTACTATATAGATACTTAAAAAAATTGAGTAGATACACTTTTAAATTAGAAGAGATTGTACATTTTCTTAACGTGTATGAAAATTCCACCATAACAAAGTATGTGGATAAATATGACTTGGTGGTACTACATAATATTCAGATAACATCATGTGTGTTAAATTAAATGATGCAATCATAATTTGAAGCAGCAACTTTAAAATTTTATCGATACTATATGCAATATAAATATAAAATATAAAAAATTATTAAGTTATTACATTATATATTGATATTACATTAAAATAAATGTTCTATACTACCTTGAAATTTTCTTTGAAAAATAATCTAAACTAAAAGAGATTGTGTCATTTGTTTTGAAAATAAAAAAATATATATATAAAAAAGGAACTCACACACAAAAATAGAAAAATAAAAATAACGTAAAATTGTAATGCAAGTTCATAATAATATTTTTTTTATAAAAAATAACTCTTTATTTATAACAAAAAATTATGTTACTCAAGAGAAGAAATGGAAAAAATAAATTAAAAATTAGAAGGCAGATTCACAATAAATTAATATTTTCAAATTAAGCCTTTACAACAAATAATTTATTGATATTGTTTAAATTATCTACAGAGGATTTGACAAATTTATAATTTAGCAGCAAAAAATGTACTCAATGAATACATAAAGACATCATATAAAAATGGCAGATTTTAATCTTTTAAATTTAATTAACTTTATTTTGCTGCATTATATAATTAACAATGTGAGATTTTATATTATGTGGTTAAGAATATATACTTTCAAATGACCGACGATTGTGATAGATGTATAAATAAAATTAAGACTACATTAAGTCCTTATATTGTGGTTCTATAATGAAAAGATATTATGGTTTTATAATTGAAAAAACCCAAAGTGGATGGTTTTGAAAATTTAATGGATTAATCAATTGAGGACAATTAATAAATAATTTGACATTAATCATTATTATTATTTTTTTATTTGATAAATTATTAATTGTATTAGATGTGTAGAATTAGCACAACATTCTAAACAGTTGCCAACTTATTCAACATTCCCAATAATATTATATCTATTATACACAATTCTAATAGGCTCTAAATACTTTTAGTACGCAAATTATCTACAAAATTTAATGTGTATTCACATGTACTTATAAATATTAATTGCTATATGACCCTTATGAATGTACAATTACAATTTAACATTTTCGATGTCCTTTTTATTTTCCAAGAAGCAGGCAATTAATTACCCAAGATTGCAATCAATACATAAGTTAATTAATAGCTACAATACAGATTTCAAGTTTATACAATATCTTAAATAACGTAAAATAAATTATCCTACAATTAATACAATAATTAGTGTAAGTTTGAGCGAAAATTTGGCAGCTGCTCCGCTTTAATATATATATAGATATCTGTCGTTTGGAAAAAAAAATAAAAAATAACTCTCACAGTGTGCAGTTGGTGCTCGTATGGATGCTTTTGCACCTTGTTGTGACGTTATACTCACTTGGACACATTGAAATCGGTAGATATATGTATTTTATCCATTAAATGTACAGAACCTTCAAAGATCGGTGGATGTGTGGGTTTCCCTTGTTTGAAAATCAACGAGTCAAATTAGATTTTTGGCTTGACTAGACTACAGTAGGTGCAGTGGATGCAATATAAATGAAAAATAATCTCACATTATTTATTTATTTATTTTGCTTTTATTTTTTCTCTCCAGGAATTGGTATTTGTTATAAGTTGTATTATTTGGATTGATTAGATTAGTTAACCTGTCATCAAAGTGATAACGGATCTTTGGAATAGGAAATTGAAGATCATTCTACTCATAAATGTTTGACCACCCGATTCTCTAAATCTTTAATATCTTTTGCTGAATAGTGTCCGCGGTTTACTCAATAGCTTCTGAACTTTCTTCTGTTCCCTGAAATAAACTATGACTTGTACGAATTTTAAATATCACGTCATTGATATGTGCAATGAAAGTATAGGTTAGACCATAATAGTTCATTTGTTTCCATCGTATAATGAAGACAATCTGCAGTGTATATTACTCGGAGGCCAGATTTATCTTCTTTTAGCTACTTGATATTCGTTATTAATGTTTATATTATCTTTCAGAGGCTTCTAATTCTGTAACACCAAATTTTCTTTTGGCAGCTTCACGCTCGTTTTGCTTTTTCTTTTTCTTTTTCTTTTTTTTTTTCAGAGTCCACAAGATGCTGTGACACCATTCCAGATCTTGGGTGGGGAAGCTCAAATAGTGCAGGTTCTTATTTAACATTCAAGACAAGACTCTTTCGTTTCAGTAAATTGGGGACATGTGACCTAATTGAAACTTTTACTTCCTCTTCTTCTATGTAGATAATGTTAAAGCCACAGGAAAAGGTTATTGCGAAGCCTGGTATGCTACTAATTGATTGATTCTGATATTATCATTCTATGCTTATCTAACCTGCATAGACTACATTCAGTAACTAGAAATCTGTTGACAATCAGCATTTTTTCCTTGACAAATATATAATTTCGAGTGAGAATGCGTTGTCCTTGCCTTTATGTAGTGTGGATTGGTGGTGAAAGATTTATTTCTTGAAATTTCAAATTTTCCTAGTTGCTCGAAATTATTTTTATGTTGATTGTTCTTATTTTGTATACCGATTATCGAATCACGTATCCATTAAAGCTCGCTACATATTATAGAATATCTGAACTTCAACTTCAGCACTAGCTAGTTACCAATTGCAATAACAATGGTAAAACTGATATTCTGAAGATGTCAATTCTATCCTTCTTATATGTGGTTAGAATAGTAGGATTGGAGGTCCGGTGTCATTCATTTGTTCCAACATTTAACCATCAAAGTCTTCCTATATATTCTATTAGCGAGGTATTGGACCTTGATGGTTTAGTAGGTTTTGGTTGGGCCTGGGGATGTGGTTTTGCCAGCAACAATTTTCCATTTCTATTTATTGACTTTTTATATGTAAGCCATACAGTTTGACTTGGAGGACTGTTACACAACTTGACCAGAAACTCCTGACTGTTAATTATTGACCAAATTGACCAAAACAAATTCGAAAAGCAGTGCATCTGTTCAACCTGTTCTTCATCCAAGTCTCTGTTGGTCAGCGCCCATTTTCCAACAACAACACTATAGGATGCTTTTACATGCAATCTGGTTTGATCTAATAAATTTAGTCATTAAGTCCTTTTGTTTAATATTTTATCTGTCAATAACTTCAATGAATTTTATAAGTTGACAATCTCTTCAACTATTCGTGAAAGGAATCATGAGTACTCTTTAGATTTATATTAATTGCATGGTTACCAAGTTCTTCAGATTTTTTTTAAAGACAACTTTGTTTGCAACTTGTGAGTAGACAAATACTACTCCCTCTGTCCCACAAAGTTATGCTTATGACAATTGTTAGGGAAGTAAAAGGTAAAGGTGTCCCTTCTAAATTATTATTATTATTATTATTATTATTATTATTATTATTATTATTATTATTATTATATTCCACCATTATTTTCTTTATGGTCACATAAATTAAACAAGTATATTAATCAAATTTAATATTGTACATATTTTAAAGTAACATGCTTGTCTTTTGTGATGGAAGTTGTAAATATTTCTTAGAATTTAACCATGTCCTTTCTAAACAGCATAGTGGGGAAATTGTGAATTACGTCAGTAGTGTAATGCTAAAATATACTAATATGTTACACCGATACACGTTTGACTGTAAGCTCTGGTCATATATTCTCCAGTTAATGTCCTGTATGTTTTAATCAGTCTTCTGGTTTGGATAGAGGTAGCTCAGGAAGAGTTATTCACTTTTATATGGATGTATTCCAGGTTCCATGTGCTACATGTCAGGGTCCATACAAATGGATAATGTTTATGTGCCTGAAAATGAGGCAGGTGTATGGCAGTGGCTTTTCGGAAAGAGTGTTACTAGCATAGTTCTCCACAATACTGGTTCTATGATGGGTTTGTTGGGATCGCTGCACCTACTTTAGCAAAAATCCTCCCGGTGTGTTTACAAAGAATTATGGTTTATCTGGTATTTATTTATTAACATCCAGTTTACCTATATTTCCGTTTGAATACCTTGTGCAGATTGATTTAGCACTATTTGGGGGCGAAATGTTGTGCCAGGTACTGATAAATTAGTAAGAATTTGTTTCAGTTTGCTCTACATGGTTCTTTCATGTTTTTAATTAACTAACCTGGGAACTATAGTATGACTTCTGCTAAAATAATGTAGCCAGATGCATTTCTTTGCTCGATAAATGATGTCAAAGTAAATAATACAGTTGATCCGAGGGTGCGCAATGTTTTGACTAGTGCTGAGGTCAGACCCTTTTAACTTCATTCATTTTCTGCACTCTTACTCATCTGTTTCTGCTCCCTTTTAAACTCATTAGTTATTATATGGCTTACTTGATTTTTAGTTGATGGTGTGCTTGCAGGGATTTTTGAGGCAGAAGATATCTGGTCAGGGTCTTGCATTTATTGTTGGAGGTGGTTCTGGTATGTTTCCATGGATCCAGTGCTGCTATGCAAATTATTTCTGATTTTATGGTACTGTAGCCCGCTTATTTGAACTGTGCATTAATGTGATTGACTCTATCTCCCTAAAAGACTTCACAAGGGGAAAAAATCTAACTGTTTACGGAGTATTTTTAATACTGGTTTCCTTGACGTCTATAAGTTAAGACATTTATTAATTATTTGTCAAATTAGTGTCTTCATACCAACATGTGTTTGAATATTTGGTTATATGATGCTAAAGAATTTGATATTAAGTACCCCATCTGTGCTTCCTTTTTATTCTTGCTGAAAAATGTTTAGCAGTTTTATATCGTTGATTGTCTTATATGTAAGAAACATAGCAGGAATATTTAATAATTTGAGAGATAAACACGGAGAAGTGAATAACTTTTTGTTTACTTTTTACATGATCAAGTTTTTTTGGTGTAGGAAATCAGGATAGAGCCTTTTCAATAATCTGTGTCTAGATGCACGAGCATGCCTGAAGAACAAAATTGTGTTTTGTCAGTATTGTAATTAGGTTCACAGAAGTAACCCCATATCCTATCAGAGATCTATGTTTAAATCCACTTATAATATTATTATGAACAATGTGATATTCTCTTAGGTATTTTATTGAGCATAATAGAATATATTGATTACAGAGGTCTATATGATAACCGTTTCAACATAATTTTGAAGGACTTAATTGATAGAACGTGCATATTTGTTTAAGCAACTTCTTTCCTAATCAAGTTCTTGTTGTGTTCTCTCTGGTGAATGTTAGTCGTGCAGAAAAATCTTGAGGTGGGCGAAGTACTTGCAGTTGATGTCTCTAGCATAGTTGCAGTTTCATCATCAGTAAATGTACAAATCAAGTATAATGGTCCAATGCGAAGAGTTGTCTTTGGGGTGAGCATTCAACTTGAATACTTGAATCATTCATTTTCACTATAATTGTTTTCATCCTTTGGTTCCTGTTGAAGTTTTTAGTGTTGCATAGAGTCATGTTATGTTTAGTTGCAGATTTGTTCCCTATTGGATGTGGTTTTACACGTAGTGGACGCAGTTTGTGAATAAACTTGAAGAAACATGTAGAGCGAAAGATAAAATAAAGAATGATTTTAATTATTATGAGAAAAGGTAACGAGCCACTAAGGGTGTGCTTGGAGATAAGTTTGTGATTGGATATTTTGATTTTGATTGGTTTTTTGGTTAACCAGAGTTAATTTTGAAAAAGTTGGTTGAATTAGGCTTGAGTGGGATTTTCTGTTTGATGTAAATGTAGGAGAGGGGTGATTGGAATTGATGGGTGGCTAAAATTATGTGAGTTGATGAATAGTGAATTAAAATTGATATGATGTGTAAGGATTATTGGTTGATATTATTTAGTTATGTTGATAATATGGAGGATAGTGAGGTTTAGTTAAATTTGAGTTAAAAAAAGTGATTAGAAATTGTTTTTTTTTTTTATATATATATATATATATATCCAAGCACATCTGTGTGTCACCAATTAGTCCTTTTTGAACTATTGTAGTTTCATTCTACATGTTAACTTGCTGGAATTTAAGAGACTTGACTTGGTATATGATTGTGAATATATTCAATGTTTTATTCTTGACCCTACAATTATTTTCACTCAATCAATTGCAACCCTACATCTATACATACACTCAGTTGATACGTGAGGCAGATGCTATGCAAAACATGCTAAGGGTATTGAATAAGTATATGTTAAGTTTTTTGGTTGGCTTTCTGATTGAGTTTTTTGTAGAATATTGTATGTTGCATCTGAAAGTTTTTCATTACTAATCGCTAGGCTTAGTGCTAGCTCTCATCGAATATCTGTTATTTTGAACGTGAAAATTTTCGAAGTAATTATTTGAGTATTTCCCATCCAATAGCTTTATTTTCATGTTAGATTGAATTTTCCAGTTATACTTCTGTTCAATATGGAAAAGAAATGGGTCTCAAGCAATTGGTCAGCATATATTTTCTTAATTTTCGTAATTGTTTCATGGTTTCCCCACCAGGGTGACAATTTGGCGACTGCTGTTATAACGGGTCCCGGCATTGTTTTCATCCAGAGCATGCCTTTTAATCGGCTCTCACAACGCATTGCTAGGTAAATCTCTTGGGAAGTTTTTAATTTTATTCAAAATTATACAAATAAGTTTATATTATTAAGTGATAAATATTTCTTGGAGTGAGAATTATGAACATGCTGTATAATATAATTTCCATGATATCATCATATTAGCCATTTTGCAATTCTAACATTATATATTGTTACGCAAAATTTAAATAATATATATGATGGAACTAATATTTTCCTAGTTGATCAATGGGTTAATTTGTGTTTTTACAGGGCAGTTACATCTCCAAATGTGAGAGACAATCCCAAGTTTTTCTTCCAGATAGCAATCTTTTTCTTTCTAGCGTATGTTGTTGTTGTGTCGTCTCTAATCTTGACAGACATATGATCTCAACCAAAACCGAACCCCTTTCCATTTTTACCCTTTCCTTTTTCAAATTTCTTTACCCACAATTCAGTCGAGTGTGGCTCATTATATAGTCACAGGTTCATGAGATGGATACATATGGTATCATGATGAAAGATGTAAAGAAACCGTTACAGTTACAATTTGTAATTTACGGATGTTCACAGTACTCGTCTTAACTTTGTACTTGTCTAGTATTGCTGCTGAAAATGTTTTTTCTAATCTTTGGTTACCGATTGTACCTAGGGGCGGACGTAGGCTCGCATAATTAAAGGGGCACAAACATAATTTGTACACAATAAAAATATAAAATAATAAAAACAAAAACGATAATCGTTATTCATATGTGCTCCTATATTGTATCCTCCATAATCACATCATTTCTAACTAGTAGGTACCCCGTGCGATGCACGGGACAGAAATATTAAATGAGTTATTTTTACACGCTTTGTCCGTTTAAGTATATAAAGCAATAGAGTTATCATCTATTTTCCACTTCTTTTAATCAGCGTTAAGTGTATTAAACAATAAGGTCTATTTTGCACCTCTTTTAATCAGTCAAAGCATTAAATATGAGCATGTTAGGGCTAGCTTGTAAAATAATTAATATATTATCTCACTAACACATTTATACTAATATAAATTTGATTTTAGTATATATATATAAGAGAGAATAACAATTTTACTTATTCTTGTTCACCATATAATACTTAATTATTTTATTATAAACTTTGTTGTCATATAATGTCATTATTATTTATAAGGTTATAGAAGTTGTACGTCTGCTTTTTCTTTTTATTTTATGTAATGAAAAATATTTAATGCACGTTAGTATTATTCATTATGTAGTCAATTTAAAATATGTAAATAAATTTAAAATTAAATAGTGTATAAATATTTTAAAAAATATACACATGCTTTTTTAGAATTTAATTTTGTATACTAATTAAAAAACTTTGATTTAGAAAATATCAAAAACTCAATCCCTTCTATGACCAAGATTTTTCTAATTCGCATTATAAGGATTTATAGTTTATTTAGCATACTCTGCAATAAAATATATTTTACAAGAATTTAATTATAGAAATAAATCAAAATACAAAAAAAAAATGATGGGAGCCAATAATATACAAATAAGTTCTAAAAAATAGTTAATATATTTCAATTTTAATTTTTACCATTAGTAAAACTATTTAATATATTTGGTCATTATCTCTTAAATGATAAATTATATTAATTTGAAGAACAATTTATTTTTTATATTTCACAAAATAAAGCTTAAGAAAAAGATATATTGTCAAAGATTAATTCACCAACTTGATTTTGTCTGATTACTTGGAAAAAAAAAATCCTACCTAACCTGTTACAATTTTCTATAAATATTTTTTAATAAAAAGTGAATATTTGTGAAAAAAATTAATATTATGGTTAGACTTAAAATATGGTGTAATATTGATCTTTACCAAAATATTATCAACATGGATCATGGAAATCAATTTTGTAATTTATTATAATGAATATCAATGTAAGTATTACAAATATTAATAAAATAATATTTATCTTGACCAAATTATTATCAAAATGAATCACTGAAAATCAATCTTTTAATTTATTTTAATATATATCAATGAAAATATTGCAGATATTAATGAATTTATTTAAGTAATTTTTTGATCATGTCTTATCTGATCTTCTTTGAAAGTATGTATATGGAGGCAATTAATGCATATATTTAAAAAGTTTTTAAAAATGGTATGCATTAAATGTTTCCTAAATTTTTGATACTATTTTTAATAAATGGTAATTCTTATTATATATATATAGATATTATTAAATAAATCTTNTTTTTCATTCAATTTCAGCATTTGTAGACTTCTCTTATAATATTTCTTCATAAAAATTTAAAAATCATATTAGTAGAAAAAATCAATGACAACTACAATTTGGTAGCTAACTTATAATTATAATTTTAAGAACGCATATATACAATATGTATCAAAATCAATAACAAGAGTTTATAAATCTTAATAAAGTTGACTTTACACCGAAGTTCTGAAAGCTCTAAATATCGCACTTTTTTAATTCTTAAATATAAATAGAGGGCTACATAAATTTAAAATATAATTTATTAATTGACACAACATGTGAGTAGAAATAAAAAGTTACTCAAAGATGAAATTATAAAAGAATTAATGTGATATTTTCATTTGTAGAACAATTGTCACCTTCTTATTTAATTAAAACTTAATTACATACAAAATTTAAAGAAATTAAACAGTTTATTTAATAATTTTGTAAATAAATAACATAACATACCCTTTTTGTAATATAAATATACTAGTGGGTTTGCGGCTGTGCACGCACAGCCGGACCCAATGTATTCTATAATTAACCATAAAATTTGAGTATTTAATAACTCGTACAATCACGACTTAAATTTAATCTATAATCGAGTTAAAATTTAGCGTCAATTGAAATAATCAGCTAAATTTATACATATTTTTTAACTATTATTATTAAATTTTACCCAAATGACCAAAATTAGAGTGTAGGAAATTTATCTTGAATAAATTGTTTGAACATGCTTGAAAAAACTTGCATAATTTAATTCTATAACGACAAAGTAGGTCATGGTAAAGAAGAACAAGAAAATTAACCATTTCAACCTCTGCATAAAACCATTTCAATCATTATGTAACATATATTATTAGCTATAATCCTGTGGCACAAACTTAAATCAACCATTTCAACCTCTGCATAATCCTCAGAAATTATTGATAACTTAGTTATTTTTGTTTGTATTGCATTTGAGATTAACTCGAAGTCACCCCATGTGCTTATCATGTGGCAATTAGAGCCCCAAAAAATTTGTTTGGACGTTGTAATTAAGCTTCTATAGTGGAATATACTCTTGTTATCATTGAGAGTGGGTTCAATTAGACAGTATACATACCCTATTAAAGGGGAAAAAATGTTAATATCTTAAAATACATAATGACTTGCTTGGTAAACAACGTTTTGGTCCTAAAATAGAGATGTAAGATGAATTAGAGTTTTAGATCTGTCATAAAATCTAATTTAATTATTTGGTAGATATCAACTTCAAATAAATTTTTGAATGATAAAAATAGAAGCTTTTTGAATAAAGAAAGATAGTTAAAGTTAATATCAAATAATTAAATATTTACCGAATATTTTGCCTAAAACTAATCTAATAGTCAAATCTACCAATTTAATCTGTTATTAGCTATCGGCTATCAGGTATTTGATTATTAATCTTCTGTGGAGATTATTCGCACAAATAGAATTACTCTTTCATTATGTAGACCTACATAGTTTGCTCCCTTTATTTTGAGAGACTTGTGAAAAAAAAATTATTGTTCATATCGCCGAGAAAAAAAAAAAGTAACATGGCGAAAAAAGCACTGCATAATAATTGTTTGTGCAGAAGTTAATTAACAAGTATATTACATCACAACAAAGAACAATAAACACAAAAACAAAACAACACACACAATTGGGGTACCCGTGGATCTATGTTGCATCAAGAAACAGTGTTCTAGGAGACAATAGTATTTACAGGCTCAGAACAAATTCATGTTCAATAGGTTGGTTTTATTAGCTAGTAAACTTCAATCACCAAGTAAAAACCACAACTCAATCACATTTCAAGCAATGTATTATGGAAATAATATCAAATGAACTGCAAAATTGTTTGAAAGTACAATTAATTTTGCAAGTTTTTTAACAACATTTTTCCTGTGCAAATAACAGCCAACCTCTCATGACTGAGAAAACTCAACAAATAAATATTCTCCATAGATAGATGGAAACACCTCACATACTAATCATTATGTAATATATATTATTAGCTAAATTAATTATATTTTCGGCCTGACTGCTCTACCGCAAAGCAGTGCATTGTTTGATATGTCGTACTCGTTTGCAAAGGTTGTGTCGGGTTGTAAACTCTCAGATATAGTTGTTGTCCGAGGTATTGTCTTCCCCAGTCCCCATTGCCGACCTCACATTCCACATGCCCTGGTTGTCTAAAGACACTAATATGGCAGTCCACAATTTGGGATATCACTGCAAGAATGAATAATTTTAAGCCAATGCTTTAAATGTACCGTTCGAGGCCAGTACAACACGAAGTACGTGCTCGCGGGCCTGGTCAATTTCGCTAGTCCATCCCGAATTACCATGTATAGTTGCTATTACCTGTGTGATGTGTCTGGTCAAAGCATCATCAAAATTGTAAGTCTGCCAGCTAGCTTGGGTCCACTGCCCTTTTCTGAAGCTGTTACAGTAACGGAAAAAATAACTATATCTAGAAATTGTATTCTATTCAAATAGTTTATTTAAACAAAAGCTTTGAAGCTTACACACCCGACAACCCAGAAGTCATATCAGTCGAGATGCCACGACTGGATTGTGTCCTGATTGTTCTGGAACACGATCTCGATGAAGTCGTGGAGTGAGGCTCCCAAGACGGATGTCCCCAGGCTGGGCCCACTGCCAGGTGGCGCGCGCTGGATGGAGTTTACAGTGAAAACACCCGGGATGTTGTAATAATCTGCGAGCTTAAAGGTGGTGTTGGGGTTTATGTAAGAAATTTCGTTGACGGCATATCTTTGCTTGCCGTTAATAATGGACGCTGAGTTGGCCAGCACAAGAATCCTCGTTCGCATTCTCATCTCGTAATGGAATGAGCCTTGCGGGTTAGGCCTAGCAGCATTTGAGGTCAGATTCCACCTGAAAAATGACAAAATGAGTAAATTTTAATGAAAGCATATCGATGTTTGGACATCCAATTGGCCCGGCCAAAATGCTTGGAACTTTTTGAGTTTCAGAAAGCCCATTACACTGTACTAATCGAGTATTTCAGCACAATTATTTTGGTGCAAATCTTGTTGTTTGTACCTGTAGAATCTAGCTTGGTCCATGGACCATATTCAAACAGTCGGGCCAGCTGGGATGGGCCCGAAAACCGGAGCCCGGGAGTTGGAGTAGTGCAACACGCTGGTGGCTGTAAGGACTGTTTGGGTAAATCGCGTGGATGCAACCATGTAATAATCCTTTGGTGACATATCCAAGGTGAGAAGGATTGTCACAGATTGGCCAATGTTAATGTCGCGAGATCATAGATACTCGAGAGCACATGGGACCCTTCAACCTCGACAAGCTTCAGTTTGGCGCCTTGAATCCTGAAATTGATAGAGGTGGACAAGCCGATGTTTGAGACCCTGAACATGTATGTCTTCCCTAAAAAATACAAACCAAGATTTTTAAACCACAAATCTCTCAATTAAAACACACTTTTGAATAATTCCAAGCTTTCACAATAAGGTGATTTGCAAATACTAAATGTTCCAATTATACTACAAGTGCCTGTAGAAATGTCTTCTTAACCTTTGCAGACAGTACTTAAAAGTGATAGTTCGATTCTAACTTTCATTTTTCGCATTATGCGAATTATTTGTAAAGAAAAAGTCAAAGCACTTTAAGCCCAGTAATATATATGACCTACTCAGTGAATGAAGGTCGACCCTGGCCGTTTATAAGGATTCCATCAGGGAAAGGCAGTGGATTTCCAGAATCTAGTATTTCTTGCAATTCCTGCACTACACGTAAACATAGTTATTTGATAATACTCTCAGGCTAGGCACATCAATTACTGAAAATTTAGGCCATTAGCTATTTTCATTAAATCAATCTCAAAGTATTTTATTCAGTGGAAGACATGAGCTAACAGGAGGATGACAACGCATAAAAACATAGACTTATATATTAAAATTAACCAAGTACACCAATTTCAAGGATGGATCTATATATGAGCCAATACAACAAAAATGAGGAAAAAAAAGGCTTCATCATTTTTTATTTTCTAACATAATCGACTTAATCCATTGAAAATCACAAGCATTTCAGAAATGAAGCATCATTTAAAACCCCAGATAAACAATCAAAAAGCACCCCAATCATAATTCATGTTTATTAAACGCTACGGCAATTCAGGACTTACAGATGCAGCTCATGTCATATGCATCTTATTACAAGCCATTTAGGACTTACAGTCTTACATATTTCCTAATCACGGCCATTCGGACAAGATTATTGTTGACGTGAGCAAGAGTTTCTTACTCTCTCTGCCGGATCAAAAGCAAAGGGTCCGAATGATGTTTCCTCCATGCATCATTAGCACGAGCTTCTGGAACTGCAGACTGCTACAATATAACAAATAAACCAGGGCATTAAAATTGCAAACAACAATATTGAACTTCCAAAAGAGTTATCACATGACATATACAGAAATGCTCAATCTTCAATGAAGCAAATACCTCGGTAGAAGCAGAGGATGTTGATGCAGTTACATTAGGTTTGATTTTTGGTAAAGATTCAAGCTCTTTGAAACTGGAACTCCCTTTCCCAAGAGCCAATCCTGTACAAAAAGTCCAATCCCTCTTGCTTCCTGAAAGAAAATTAACAATTGAATTAGAAATATTAGTAACCCTAAAATCAAAAGACCCAGTTCAAAAACCCTAGAAAAGCATAAACAAATTCAGGGAAGAGGTAAAACTAAGGAATGAGGCCGACTTGTTCTTGGAGCTAACGAAACGCAACTCGCCTACCTCGACCCGCGAGCTGCCGCCAACTTTTAGATCTGAATGCCGCGCGTAGCGCCGCCGTGCTGATCGTCGGAGCTGCTCATCGCTTTCTCTCGCCGGGCCGCCATGTATTCAAGACATTCCAGGGGTTATCGATCTTCGCTCCTCAACACCAACGCGAAAGCCTACCAGTTCTCACGCTTCTGTTTAATTTGATTCCAAAAGTAGAAGACCTTCGGCTGAAGAACGCGAAATATTGGAAATTGTCGGTCGCATCTCCGTACATTCTCAGACGCAGCAGCTTGAGCTCGTGTTGTCATAACCGGAGATCAATTCCGATCATGCGGGTTCCAACGGGAGAAGGAAAAAATTGGGCTGAAAGATTTAGGAATAGGGAGAAGGTTGGTTGTGAAGTGATTGGTCGGTCATTTCAGAAGCTAGTGAAACTTCGTGCGTAAGAAAAAGCTATAGAATGAATTGACTGAAAAAAAAGGGAAAAAGTAAAAATTCATTCGTGTCGACATGTGAGTCGGTGTGTAGCGTGTGATGGAAAGTGACCGAAAAAAAAAATGAATGAGGATTGAATTTACAATACTATCCCCCAAAAGGCAATTAAAGCAGGGTGACTCACGTCAATTAACAATGCAACATGGCTAGAATACGGCACCGTTTTGCTCTGCAAAATTTTAATAACAAAATGAAAAATTGCAAGTCATGAACCGTAGAAAAAAGAGGAGAGCAGCAATGTGAAAAAAAAAGGCCACGTGTAGGCCATACACCTTAATTCACAATACCACAAATGTGCCACTTGTCAGCCAAGAATGGTCTCTCATTTTTTTTTCTTATAAGAATAAGAGAGATATGCACTATTATTTTTTCTAATTTCAATAGGGGCATGTGCCCCTAGGGCCCTCCTTGGGTCCCCTCCTGATTGTACTTTATTTAAGATTATAAAATAGTATTTGTTGTTAGATAAAAGCAGGGCTGTTATCGAACCGAACCGAACCGAGCTTAAGGTGTTCGAGCTCGAGTTCGATTAATTTTCGAACATATTCGTGTTCGTTCGATTAGTAAACGAACAAAAGATTTTGTTCGTGTTCGTTCGTTTATTGGTTCGACACGTTCGTGTTCGTTCGTTTATCTAGTCGAACATGTTCATGAACTGTTCGAATTGTTCGACAAGTTCGTGTTCGAGTTGTTCGACATGTTCGTGTTCGTGTTTTTTAACTTTTTTTTTTTATTTTAATGTCATACAAGTTATTTTATTTATTATTTAATATCTATTCATATTTATATGTTCTATTATATATGTATATACTATATATAATATATAAAATTATAAAATATTTGTGTTTTATTTAATATTTAATATATATTCATATTTATATATTATATTATACATGTATATACTATATATAATATATAAAATAATAAAATATTTTTTTGTTCGCGAACGCTCGATTAGTTCGCGAACATATTCGTGTTCGTTCGATAACTAAACGAGCGTAATTTTATGTTCGTGTTCGGTTCGATTGCTAAACAAACGAACTGTTATCGAACACGAACGAACTCGAACGAGCTTTGTTCGCGAACGTTCGGTTCAAAAAACAGCCCTAAAGAAAAGTAACGACTAACGAGGAAGTTTATTTCGACTTTTACGGGTTAATTTTGATTAATTGGATATAATAAGTTAGGATTGAAAAGTTTTAATTGGGCAGAATAATAATTTTTATGAATAGATACAAGATTTAATATAATGATTAAAGTTTCATGGAATATATAAAATTATTATAATAAAAAATACAAATGATTTTTAAAAAAATATGTGTGTAGATGAATAATGAAGTTTATTAAAAAATAAATAATTTTTTAAGCATTTTATAGCTTATATAATTGAAATAAGCTTTATTTGCTAGTACAAGTTTTAAAAAATGATGTTGAAATTTATATTTCACATAAGCCTCTTTAGGTAATTTTTAAAAAAATTCTGTTGAAATTTTTATTCACTTGATATCTATTAATTTATCAATCAACTTTATTATATAAGTTAAATATTTAGCCATAAACTGAGTTATAAGTTAATTTACCATTCACTTTTATAATATAACTTAAATATTTAGCCATAAGTTATAATTTGTTAGCTATAAACTCAAAATTCACTTATAACCCTATCAGCCAACTTATCAATTATAAGTCAACTTTTCAACTAGATTTACCAAACAATCTAAATAATTACTATAGTTGTTCTCGAATATAATTGTAACTTAAATACTAAAAATTATAAAAATAAAAGCTAAAAGTTTAATTAAATTCCATACTTTGACAAGGAAAGTGAAATCTAAATCCCTATTTTTTAGTAGTAAAGACCCACCTAAATTCCTACCTAAAGTTAAGTTAAATTTGCTTTTCAAATTGATGTATGGTGTGATTGCATGTTTTATAATAGTAGTTTGATACTCATAGCCAATTCTTAACTCCCAATAAATTAGAAATATTAAAATTGTAATATATTGTGGACCATCCTTCAAACAACATAACACAAGTTCAAACCATATTTACAAAAAAAACAAAAAAAAAAAAAAAAATCACCCCGAAAAATATGTCTGAATTTCCACTCGTTGTTGTGGAGATCTCGAGCAATCAATTCCTGTGCTGGAGGCTGCTGGGAGAAGTCCTGTGGATTTTTAACAAAAAATGGTTACCGAATAACCAATACATTTTAAAAATATTAATTCGCAAAAGCTAATGAATTATTATTATTAATTTATTTTTTTTTGGGTACCAATGGAGGAAAAACTTTTTCGGCCGAACGGCGTGGGACTGAAAATCCGCCATGTNCCACAAAAGAAAAAAAAAAAAAAACTTCAAATTTAAATACGAACCCGCATCTGGTTTAGTGAAGCAAAGGGGTGGGGTGATCCGGAACACATTTCCAAAGAAACCACCTTTCCCGATAAGTACACCCATATCTGAAAAAAAACAAACGAGAAATTATTCACGACTCGAATTTGGTAAAGAACGAATAAATAACGATTGATTTACGTGCAAAGAACAAGAAGAAATGAGACCTTTCATCATCTCCATCACTTTTAGAGTCTCGGCATTTGCAGGAGTTTTCTGTTCTCGATCTTTTACGAGCTCAACTCCGAGCATCAGGCCTCTTCCCCTCACATCTCCAATAACTGCAAAATAACCGAAATTATAATAATATTAAGGAACCTTGTATTTTATATTTCAATATATACATAGTTGCATATTATGCGGTCTTAAAAGACATTTAGAGAAAAAAACATACTCTCGTATTTTTCCTTCAGAGAAAGAAGACGTTGCTTCAAGTGCGACCCGACTTCTAATGCATTCTTCTGAAGGCCGTCTTTTTCTATAACATTTAGAACAGCAAGTCCAGCTGCAGTGCAAACTGGATTACCACCAAAGGTATTAAAGTAGCTTCTTTGAGCTAACACCTTTGCGATTTTTGGAGTCGTGACTACAGCACCGAGTGGTATTCCATTTCCAATACCCTGCATATGAAGAATAATAGGATTAGTGTTTCAAAAATCAATTAATATCTCACAGAGAAGTCGAATAACCAGCATCTTGCGGAAAAAACAAGATTATATCTTGTTTATTCAACAAATGAAACTCAAGAAAGGGATAATAATATCTTACCACCAAAATTTAGCCCAATTAACTAAAAAGTAAACAGAACGAACAAAGAATAAAAAAAGAAAAAAAAACACAGTTACCGCTATAGAAAGTGAAAAAAAGAAAAAAGTACCTTGGCCATTGTTACAATGTCTGGAACAACACCATGGGCCTCAAAACCCCAAAAATCGCCAGTTCGCGCAAAGCCCGATTGAACCTCATCAGCTATGCAAAGGCCACCAGCTTTTCTAACAGCACTATATACAGCCGGCAAATATCCCGGTGCTAACTCCATAATTCCACCCACTCCCTGTTAGCAATTGAATATTCAGAAACAGAATAATAAAACAAAAATGTGTTCATATGAATAAAAAAATTGTATAAGCCCTATAAAGATCGATCAACCTGTATGGGTTCTGCAATGAAAGCAGCAACTCGGCTGGTTGTTCCATATGTGATAATCTCCTCAACATCTTTTGCATACTTTTGTCCATCTGACCCAAATACACCCCTGTACTGGTCAGGATTCAATGCATGGTGTACTCCAGTCTTGCAAAAAAGCAAAGGCAAACATGGAACAAAATGTCAAAATATGCTGACTTTAGCATAAGGTATCTCAAATGGACAAAAATAAATAAAAAATTAATGGATTTTGTAGGTGAGAGTTATCCATGCACCATAATTCGAGTCAACAAATACTAAGCTTTTAACCTAACTCAACAGCCAAACATAATTCTCAACAAGAATCAAAGTAAAATAACAAAATTTGGTTCCAGTCACATGCATAGATTTTGTAAGAAAGATTCTATCCCTGCACCATAACTTGAGTCTCAAAGACTTAGTCATGTATCCTGATCTTCAAACCACAAAAGTTCAATCACAGTATCACTGAACAGATTAGTGTCCATAGGCATAGGAGAATAAAACAAAATACCTGGACAACATTAAATTTGTAGCTACTTTGAGCAGTGGCCCCCATTGTCCCAGCTGCATTGCCATGGTATCCATTCCTGATGGAGATAACTTCATGAGAGCCCGTGTATAATCGGGCCATCAACAAAGCCAGCTCGTTCGCTTCTGTTCCAGAATTTGTGAAGTAAACAACCTAACACAACAAATAAGCCCCAACGAGAAAAGAAACTAATCACAGCTTTGCAATAAATCAACAAATTTAAAAAAAAAAAAAATGGTGGCCCTTATTTGGGGCTTCATGGCACAAGGGAAATCAACAAAGGCTAATCCATATGTGAAAAACACCGAGCAAAAATTAAATCTACAAATAATGATAATAACAACAGCGGTCTTCGACAATCTCTGGATTCAAAGAACAAAGCAGATAGATACCTTGAGATCACCAGGGAATTTGCTGGCGAGAGCCTCGGCAAAGTCGGCTATAGCAGGATTCAAGTAGAGAATGGTGGAGTGCTGCAGGCGCTTCGCCTGATCGACAATGGCGGCCACCACATCCGGATGACAGTGCCCGCAGCTAACAGTCGCTATCCCGCCAAAACCATCCAAATACCTCCGACCCTTTTCGTCAAAAAGGTATTGCATCTTCCCATCCACTAAAGCCAGCTGCCAAAAACAATCGAAAATAGCCAATAAAGAAAAAGGAACAAATTAGCCAAAAAATAACAAAATCAAGCAAAACAAAATCCCTAGATCCCATCGCCGACAACCCACCGGTTTCTTGAAGAAATGGAAGACGGCGGGGCTGAGAAAGTTCCGGCGCTTGGAAAGGATCTCCTCAGCGGAGGGGCCGACGTACGGCGGCGGGGCGTAGTCGAATGGTGGCATCTCGGGTGGATTCGGCTCGTGCTCCACGAGTGGCTGCGATAGGGTGGAATAGGCGGCGG